TTGCTGGTTCAATTCCCAGTCCAGGCCCGTGCCTGGGCCAGGACCCCAGTGTGGGGTTCATGAGAGGCAACTTCATGTTGATGTTTTTATCCCCCTCTTGCTCCCTCCCTTCCCCTTTGTCTAAAAGTAGATAAATAAATTTTTTTTTAATTTTTTGAGGGACTGATAAAATCCCCAGAAGATAAAGATATAATAAACAGAAAGAAAAGATCAGTTCAAATCTTCATGGATATGTTAAAGTGTTCCATACTGCCAAATACTTGAATGATTTAATTTCTGAATAAAACCCCTCTATGGAGAGAAACTTACAGGTATAGTTAAATCTATGCATTGTACATTTTTATAAACCAGCAATTGCTTACATAAGTATACACCCATAGAAATGAGTGCTTTGGTCCAACAAAAAACTTACACAATAATGAACATAGCGTCTTTTTCTATAATAGCTAAAAACTGGAAATAATTCAAATTCCATCAATAGATACATTGTAGTATATACATACAATGGGATACTATAAAACGATGAAAGTAATGAGCTACTATTTCATGCAATAACATGGACGACTCGCAGACATAATGTTGAGAACAATAAGTCAGACACAAAATACGTACTAGCCCTGACTGGCGTGACTCAGCAGTTGGCGGAGTTGTCCTGTAAACTGCAAGTCTGCAGGTTCGATTCCTGGTCAGGGTGCATGCCTAGACTGTGGGCTTGGTCCCTGATGGGGACACATACAAGAGACAGAGGCTCCTCAGGTGAGGATTTTAAAAAACAACAACAACAATAATACACCCTGGCGGGTATGGCTCAATGCACTGAGTGCCAGCCTCTGAACTGAAAGGTCACGGGTTCCATTCCCAGTAAAGGCACAGGCCTGCGTTGTGGCCCAGGTCCCCAACTGGGAGCGTGTGAGAGGCAACCGATTGATGAGTCTCTCGCACGTTGATGTTTCTCTCCCTCTCTTTCTTCCTTCCTTCCCCTCTCTCTAAAAATAAATAAATAATATCTTTTAAAAACAGGTTTAAAAATGTAATACGTAATATATGGTTTCATTTATATGAAATTGAAGAAGAGGCAGAGCTAATCTGTATTGATAGAGGTCAAATACTAGTGACTTTTAGGGATGTAGTGTTAGGGAAGGGGCAAGAAGGGGCCTTGTGGGATGCTGGAGATGCACTTGATCTTGATGCTAGAAATGGTGGTCACATAGCAATATAAATATAGACGCAGCACAGTACTTGCCAGCTTCAGAACCCGTCAGACTCTGTACTTGTCTCATTTTGATAAGAAAAAAATGTGTCAGGACTTGCCGCACTTACTAGAAGTCACAGCACTGCCTCACAAGAGAAAACGCGTCATCTGCTGGTGCTCGTTGGTTTCAGCACTCATCACTGAAGGAATTAATGATGCGCGCCGAGGTACCACTGTATGTAAAAGTCCACCGAGTAGTTTAAGATTACTGTACTTTATGTATGTTACATGTCAATATAAAAGCAAAAAGTTAAATTACTTGTAGCAGCATGGAGTATTTGAGCTATTATCAAGAAACGTTGAAGCAGTTCAAGATCCAGTGGCAACAATTGGTAAATACCATGTTTTAAACAACCAGCAACTTCTCAGGCTGACTGGAGTCGGCTGTGGCTTAGGCTCGCTTCTCTGTTCCCTAAGCCTTCATCAGCTTGGTTATCACACAGATCCTCCACAGATACTCATCACAGGCCACTAGCCACTGTCATGATGTCATTATTTCTGTTCTCACACTGGCAAGAATATCCAAGTTGGGTGGACAACAAGTATTCAGGTTTACATCTTTCTTTTCAATGTGCTTTCTCCTGTTTCTTTAATTAAAATATAAGATTTTAGCCCTGGCTGGTGTAGCTCAGTGGATTGAGCGCGGGCCTGTGAACAAAAGGATCGCAGTTCGATTCCCAGTCAGGGCACATGCCTGGGTTGCAGGCCAGTTCCCAGCAGGGGACCTACGAGAGGCAACCACACATTGATATTTCTCTCCCTCTCTCCTTCCCTTCCCCTCTAAAGATAAATAAATTAAATTAAAAAATATATATATATAATTTTATTCTGTACATCATTATACAGTGTGGGACAAAAGTGGATTTACAATTGTAAGTATGTGAGACAGAGTTTATTCTTATATTATTTATTAATTATTATATTCTTTTCTTTTTTAAAGATTTTATTTATTTTTTAGAAAGGGGAAGGGAGGGAGAGAGGGAGAGAAACATCAGTGAGTGGTTGCCTCTTGCACGCCCCCTACTGGGGACCTGACCCCACAACCCAGGCATGAGCTCTGACTGGGAATCGAAATTGCGACCCTCTGATTTGCAGGCTGGCTGGCACTCAACCACTGAGCCACACTAGCCAGGGCTAATTATTATATTATTTTCCATACAAACAACTTTAAACCTATTTTGCCCCACCCTGTACTTGTGCTGCCACATATTGTATTTGACTCTAACATATGCTGTACGTAATGGGGGTGCGAGATTTTCAAGGGTAATGTTGACTACGAGGCATAATTGTCCCCACACATCTCCTGACTCTGTCCTCCCAAAATGTGAAGCTTGTAGCGCAATGCTTGACACACGGTTCCAGTTCGGCCCCTTCAGCCTGGGCTCCCCCTCCCACAACCCACATGTGCTGTCTAACCAAACTAGCCAGTGACCACAAAACCTTGTGGGTAATCAAACCTGAATTCTCTGCTACACTGAATTCTCCTGGACCCTCTTCTCACTCTACACACCCTCTCCGAGCCCCTCATTGATTCTCATAGTTCACTTCCTGGATAAAGGCTGACATATCTCCCAGATTTGCTTCTCTTCCCCAGGTCTCTGCCTCCTCCTCCACACTTGTCATTGTCAAGTGTGTTCTGGATGGTTCCTTCTGGTTGTCACCTAGACACCTCGAAAACACGACTCACCATCTCTCTCTCCCACCCTCTCGCACCTACCCTGAGTTGCTCCTCTTCCTGTCATTTCCATCTTTGGTAGTGGCACCACCATCCAACAAACTCATCCGGGCTAAACATCTCTCTCTCGCTCTTTCCTTTCCCTGGCCTCAGCATCTAACCAAGTTACCAAACCTGGCGATTCTATCAGTGGTTTTTTTTTTTAATCTATTGGTTTTAGAGGAGAGAGAGAGAGAGAGAAACATCGATTGTTGTCCCACTTTATTTATGCGTCCATCAGTTGATTCTTGTATGTGCCTTGGCTGGGGATCAAACCTGCAGCCTTGGCATATTAGGATGATGCTCCAGCCAAGTGAGTACCTGACTGGGGTCCTCTCAGTCTTTCTTGAATTCTTTTCATTCTTATTTCTACTGCCTTATTTCAGTCTTTTGAAACTTGTCACCTGGGCTGCTGGAACCAGTCTTGGTGCTTCATGCCCTATGTCCTTTGAATCCTCCTCAATATTGCTGTCAAGGTAGTTTTTCTTTTTCTTTTACCATGTAAAAACATTTAATTTTTAAAATATATGCTCTTTATTATATTATTTTCCATTACTACGCCGTCCCCTTATTCTCCCTCCCCATCAATCACCACACCGTTGGCCACGTCCACGAGCCCTTCAGGGCGGGTTTTCTCAGCTGAGTGTCTGACCTTGTTCCTCCCCTGCTTGTCTTCTCCTTGGCAACCCTGTCCACAGGCTAACACTCGCACTCTTGAACTTGTCCTACAAAGCCTCCATCTGGCACCGGCTCCTCTAGGTTTGTCTCCGTGCTTCCTTTCTGGCTGCAGCAACCCTGAAGTCTTTGAACTACCCCAAACCCTACAGCTTCTGGCTTTTTTAATGTCAGCTCTGTCTGGAATGCCTTCTACATGCTGCGACCCTCAACTCACCCCCCCTCCTGCAGACACACCTCTCAGGCCAACTGGTAGTCATTCGTTGAGATTCAGCCAAGTGTCATCTCTTCCAGGACACTTTCCTTTCCTAACTGCTTGATCCCCAGTTAGAAGGCCTGGCCTTTTTACCCCCATACACCCTCATTACACCTCCGTAATTTCATCTACTACATGGTATACTGTTTTTATAAATGTCCTTGTCAACTGTTTGAGGACTCATTGCTCAATCCTCTGTGCTTAGCACACATGATCACATTTGAACCAGAAACCGTTCCAAGCGCTTTACATGTATAATGCCTCACTGAGTCCTCATGAATGTATCAGGCAGTAGACACCAATAGCACTTCTGTTTTACAGAAAAAGAAACAGCACCAGGGAGGTTAAGAAATTTACCCAAGGTCACATGTGCCTCCTGGCCTTCAGGCGCTCACACCCAGTCAGCCTCGCTCCACAGCCTGCATCCCTCACCACTGTCGTACATTGCCTCTCTACAGAGTGGGTGCTTAGTAAGTGTTAAACAAATCATAATGGCTATGATTAGTGAGTGCATACTAAGTACCTGATTCCATACTGAGGGCTTGAACTGGATTATTCCAACTCCACAACAATCCTGTGAGGTAAGTACCATCATTACTACCCATTTTACACCACAGAAAACAGGTTCAGAGAAGTTTGGTAACATCACCAAGGACACAGCTAATTAGTGGCATAGTTTCACTCACGACCAAGATCTTAATCACTACACTCTCCCAAATGAGACATACGCTTTATGAATGGATGGTCATCCAGGATCAAGATTAGAGTAGCATGGAGACCTATGCCATTTACTGCTCCAGGCCCGACAGACAGTGTTCAGAACTTCAGACATAGAACCGGCTGACTCACGATCCGGTCGGAAAGAGACCTACCCAGAAAGAGCGACCCAGAATGACAAGCCCATGGCAATCGAGACCAGCACACTGCAAGAAACCCCTTGACTCCATGGCCCTCACATCTAGGGGTTCAGGAGTTGGTTGCCCCCGAGACTCAACGATAGTGGCATTGGAGAAGAGGCCTCCAGAGGTCCCAAAGCGATGCAGGAGAGGGACTAACCGCCCCAGACGGCTCCTCGTGGGGGCGTGGCCTCGGTGTGCGGCGCAACCTGGGGTGGCAACGAGAGGGTTAACCACCCGGGAAGGTCCCGTTTGCGCCCGGGCCGGGCAAAAACCTGGGGGAGGTGCTGGAGGTGAAAACCGCCTGCGTTCTGCGCCCCGCGTGCGGTGGAACCAGCGACCTCCGGGCTGGGGGAGCTAAGCGATGTTCGGGAGCCGCCGGTGGCGCAGACACTGGGTAGGCGCGGGGGGTGGCCCTGGAGAGGCCCAAAGGGGTGAACTCGCGAGAGTCTCGGGAGACTGGGACAGATGAGCGAGGACAAGGTGACGGGAGAGCGAAGAGGGCGGAGCGGGAAAGCGGGCAAACGGGTGAAAGGATGGGGCACCTGGTTGAGGATCTTCCGCCAGGTTTCCTCACTTTACACCCTCTTCTCTCCTAACTCCTCTCCAGGTGAATCCCGAAGGGGAGCGCATCTTGCAGAAGAGAGACGCCCCAGCAAGACTCTTTCGGGGAATCCTCCAGCTCCTCGCCTCCATGGGCCAGACGGCCCTGGCAGGGGGCGGCAGTAGCACCCCCACCCCACAGGCCCTGTACCCTGACCACTCCCGTCCCGAAGGTTTGGAGGAACTGCTTTCTGCTCCCTTTCCTGACCTGGAGACTCAACAGCGCCACGGCTGGAATCCCAGGGACTGCTCAGAGAACATCGAAGTCAAGGAAAGGGGATTGTGCTTTGAACGGCGGCCCGTAGCCCAGAGCACTGATGGGGCCCGGGGTAAGAGGGGCTACTCCAGGGGCCTGCACGCCTGGGAAATCAGCTGGCCCCCGGAGCAGCGGGGCACCCACGCCGTGGTGGGTGTGGCCACGGCCCTCGCCCCACTGCAGGCAGACCACTACGCGGCGCTGCTGGGCAGCAACAGCGAGTCTTGGGGCTGGGACATTGGGCGTGGGAAGCTATACCATCAGAGCAAGGGGATAGGGGCCCCCCGATATCCAGCCGGACCTCAGGGTGAGCAGCTGGAGGTGCCGGAGAGGCTGCTGGTGGTTCTGGACATGGAGGAGGGAACTCTGGGCTACGCTCTTGGGGACACCTACCTGGGGCCCGCGTTCCGCGGACTGAAGGGCAGGACCCTCTATCCGGCAGTAAGCGCTGTCTGGGGCCAGTGCCAGGTCCGCATCAGCTACCTGGGCGAAAGGAGAGGTGAGGCCTGGGTAGATGTGGGAGAGTGTTCTTTCACTGGTGGCTGTATTTTGGCTTGGAAACCCAACACTTTACAAGAGTGGAGGGAACAAGCCTTCACCTGACCTGCCTCCCTAACCCCTCATTCAGTGCCAGGAATGGCTAAGGGTCTTCACAGCTGTTACCTAATTTAATCCTCCCAGTAGCGGTAGAGGTAAAGGTGACGCTTGGGAACTTGCGGTAAGTGGTGAGCCCCCAGGTTGGAGGGAAGCACTCCAGGGATTAGGGCCTTACAGGAGCCATCAGCTCCTGGAGCAGAGGTGCGCAGGGCTGAAAGGCTCCTGGGCTAGGCGTGCGAGTTTGAAAAGCAGCGCTAGGCACCCAGGGTGTGACACATACATACCTACTTCTTCAGTCAAACCCCAGGAGGGAGCCGTCGGGGACTGCCCCCCACCCCCACCCCTCCACTGGAAGGAGAGCTGTAGAGGCAGGGTTTGACTGAAGGAGCTGCGATCAAACCCTGGGGGGCTGCAGGGGAGGGACCTCCTTGGGGAACCAGTGGGGCCAGGGCTTGGAATCTATTGAACTGTTCTCTACAGTTGTAGTCTTAGCAGAGGCTGGATACCTCTCCTCCTGTCACCCATGGTGAGCTGTCGTGGAGTGCCAGCCTCCTTTCACATCAGCCCCATTCCCAAGGCCTTTCTGGAATCCAAGCCTGGGCCAGCTCCACCCGTCATAGCCACCTTGCCCTGTTGCTTACAGGCCTTAGCTAGAGCTTCACCGTCACCACTGACTGGAAGTGTGTGACACCTCCCACCCTAAGAGCAGAGACAGAGCTTCAGGGTGGCTAAGATGTCTCTCAACCAAGGTAAGAGTAGACTCAAGAGCAGGAAAGTAGAAGGGAACCCTGTAGTCTGAGGCTGTCTGGTTGGCGGCTGCACTATTTACCTTCCCCTCCTTCTCTCTCCCAGTGGAGCCGCACTCCCTCCTACACCTGAGCCGCCTGTCCGTGCACCGAGCACTGGGGGCTGCCCGTCTGGGCCATGTATCGGCTCTGCCCCTGCCTGCTGCGATGAAGCGCTACCTGCTCTACCAGCGACCCTGTAATACCAGATTGCAGGGCCTTGAAGCCACCCTTCCACAGGAGTAAGGGCGGGGCACTGCTGGCTTAGACCAGCCACTTAAAGCCAGTGAGGCTGGTGGGGAGGTGAGCCTAGGCCCTGACCCCCAACCTGATCTCTGGGGAACTAACAGTCCCAGACCCACCCAGGGGTGAAGAGAGAAAGCTGTTATTCAGGGTTGTGGTGACCTGGTATGCAAGACATTCTTTCAAGTAAAAATAAGAAATATGCTGTTGCAAAAACCTCTCTGGTATTTTTTGCACAACTGTCCTGTAGCTGCCTCAAAAAGGAAAGAGAAATGATGTGGAAACAGGTACAATGAAGAAAGATGAACCTCAAGGCTTAGTGGCAGGTGTTTATTCCCCCCAACCCTCTGCCACCGAGCGGGGCTGCTCACATACACAACACACACAGGCGTCAGCACCAGGGGTGAGAACGGAACCCCTGGCCTCGGAGGGGAAGGCAGGGCTCTCTCCCAGCCCTTGGCCCCATGGTGCGGGATGGAAGAAAGAGGATCCCTTTCCTGCCTTCACTGGGGACTGAGGGGACCCACGAGCAAACTACCCTTTCCACCTCTCAGCCAAGGAGAAGCCTCCTTGATGACATATCTCATTCCAATTGTCATAGTAAGTGGAGAAGGGGTTGGCCTGGTCCCAGCCATTACAAGGTGAGATGTAAATGGTGAGGGAGAAGTACAGTTTGGATTAGGCCACGAGACAGGGCAGGTGATACTATCAGAAGCACGTGTGTCGGGGGAAGAGCAGTTACTGGGCTTCTGAGCTTTGTTGCCCTTGGCATAGCAGGAAGGAGAAGGGAGATGAATGGGGCTTATTGTTTGGCATTGATGATGTCCACGAATTCAGGCTTCAGGGATGCACCACCCACGAGGAAGCCGTCCACATCAGGCTGGCTTGCCAGTTCCTTGCAGGTTGCCCCAGTCACAGAACCTAAGAAGAGAGAAGAGAGGACAAATGGTCAGGGATGGGCAGGGCATACTCTATTCCCACCTCCACGTCTAACTAAGGAGGCTCAGTCTAGTTCTCAGCCCACCCCACCTCAAGCTAGAGCCAAACCCACTCACCTCCATAAATGATGCGGGTGCTCTGAGCCACTGCATCAGAGACATTGGACTTCAGCCATCCCCGGAGCTTTTCATGTACTTCCTGGGCCTAGAACAAGAAGCCAGACTAAGTCAAGACTCTGTGTTTTCCTGAAAGCGGAAAAAACCCTGGGCACGAGTGGCGAGGCAGTGTGGTTTCAGAGAATCCCAGCACCTGGGGTCCAAGTTGAAACACCAGGGCTCTGACACACACACAGCCCAGGCTGTGGAACAGACATCCTTGGACAAGTCACTGTCTCCTTCTCTGGGTTTAGGGGCTTTTGCCTTTAAAAGGAGGGGCTGGGCCCTGGCTGGTGTAGCTCAGTGGATTGAGCACAGGCCTATGAAGCAAAGGGTCGCCAGTTCAATTTCTAGTCAGGGCACATGCCTCGGTTGCAGGCCAGGTCCCCAGTGGGGGATACACGAGAGGCAACCACACACTGATGTTTCTCTCCCACTCTTTCTCCTTCCTTTCCCCCTCTCTCTAAAAATAAATCAATAAAATTTTAATAGGATGGTCTGTGCTATCCAGTTCTACTGAAGCAAGGTAGAACAAGGGTGCGGTCCTGGGCTTGTTTACCTGTTGAGGTGTTGCAGTCTTGCCTGTGCCAATTGCCCACACAGGCTCATAGGCCAGAACAACCTTGCTCCAGTCCTTCACGTTATCTGTGGGACAGAGACCACAGACAGAACGGTGAACAAGAAGGAGCTCTGTAGCTTGGTACCCAGGGAATAAAGAAGAGGGTGGCATGCTGCCCCCTGGTGGTTGTTTAGGGAACTCCACGAGGTATCAATACCACGGGGCAGGAACAGCAGTAATAGAGAGGATACAACGGATCCCACCTTCCCCTTCCTTCAGCATTGGGATCAAGTTAGGCTACAGCGCTTCTGACCCCACCCTCCGTGCCTCCATGGCCTTGGCTAGGCTCATAGGTCCCTTCAAAAATACCTGCGATGACCTTGGTTTGTTCAAAAACGACCTTCTCAGTGATGCCAGCTTCCCTCTCATCTAGCTTCTCCCCAATGCAGGCGATCACTCCAAGTCCCTCGGACAGGGCATGCGCCACTTTCTGCCCAATCAGCTGTTGAGGAGCAGTTGGTGAGACACCACTCTTGGAATAAGGCATCTCTTATCTGTCTCTTCTGGTTACTAACCTCATCTGACTCCCCAAAGACGTGCCTTCTCTCCGAGTGCCCCAGGACTACCCATGTGGCTCCACAGTCTTTGATCATGCCAGGGCTATAGGAAGAGATGAAGCCACAGTTCCACAGGGAGCCCACCTGTGGCTTTCCACTCAATGAGAAAAGCAAGGAAAGGCCCCCACACACCCTTCTCCCACTTGCATCTCACCTGATCTCCCCAGTAAAGGCCCCATTAGTCACTTTGTAGCAGTTCTGGGCAGCCACAGCAATCTTGGGATCTAGCTTCTGCCTGGCAAAGTCGATGTAGGCGGTGGGGGGTGCACAAACCACCTCTGTGGATGAGATCACAACATTTGCTAGGCTCCATCCAGGGGTCTGGAGCCCCCTCAGCTTCACCAGCTTCCTTAGTTCTGCTTTCCTTCCCTTTTCACCCCAGCAAGATGATCTTTGTGTACATTCCAGATTGGGCCCGTTTCCAACTCCTAGAGCTTTTCAGATGCCCCTGAGAGGCCATGGCCCTGCCCTTTGCTCTTTTAACTGCGTGGCTCTGATTTCCCCGGGCTATTCTGGGCCCAGGCGCCTTCTAGACTCAGCATTCCCTGGGGGCCAACCCCACCTCCCTTCTAAAATAGCTCATCCCTACCTCCCACAGTCAAGGCAAGGATTTTTAGCAAAAGCATAAGGGGCCAACCCCTGGGGTTGATATTGGAGTCTCTGGTGAATAAACCAGAAGAAGATGACTCTTCTGATCAGGCTGGTGGTTCTGTGTTTTAGCTGGATGGGAAGGACTGAGGACAGCACTCTGCCGGTGGGTGGCAGGGAGCTACCAGCAGCTCATAGAGGCCCTGCGCTTTCCCGGCTCCAGGTTGGAGGAAGCCGTAGGATCGCTCCTCATTCCCAAATGGCATCCAGTTCGGCATCTACTCAGCCCCTTTCTGAAGACAGCAGGGCTCATCCAGGATGCGGAGGGTAATGGATCGGAGCGGGTAGCTCTGGAGGCAGAAGCAGCGCGGCAGGAACACTCAGCGCGCCAGGCAAGGCTCTGGGAGGAGTCTCGCGCTACGTGCAGCGGCGCACGGAGCCCGGCCTAGGGGCAGGTGACTGGAGGCCAGCACGCCCACTCAACCGCCTCCCCTGCCCTGCACCCCCAGTTCCCGGGCTGTCGCCATTCCCGACCGCCCACTGGTGCTAATCTCCGCTTCCACGCTCCCATGCTCTAGGGGGTGCAGCTCTGTCCGTGCCCCGGGGCCATGTTCCTCTAGAAGACAAAAACGTCCTTTCCCGCCCCACTGTCCGAGCGCACCGTTAAATGTGGCCCCCATTTCCCCCTCAACACACCCCTGGCACTGCGGCTGCTGGGTCAATGTCCAGATCCCCAGTAGCCCTCGTTCTCAGCCTGCATCCAGCTCTACGAGCACACCCGGGCGCTCCCCCGCCCTCCCCGCCCCGCCTTACCCTACCAAATGAGGCTCACCGGTGTCGGCCGGCACCTTGGCCGCGTTCAGCGTGTTGATGAGCTCCCCCAGATTCGCCTTCCGCCCATTCATCTTCCAGTTCCCCCCCACAAAAAACTTCCTGGAGGGCGCCATGGCGCTGGAGCCGACACACTGAAGGTCAGGATCACCGCGCAGCCGCGGCCACTGCCCGCTTATATAGAGCGCGGTGAGACAGAACTCCGCCTCCTTGGCCATGGTTAGCCCGGCCCCCGCCTGCAAGTCCTACCCCCTACCCCGCCCGCCGCCCTTGTGGCAAAGTTCTGACGTTACCCCCTTTCTTGTAGCAACGTTCTAGGGGCTGAGTTGCTTCAGAGCTGAGTTGCTTCGGCCTCCGTTGCCTGACTCGGGAGAAGGGGAGAACTGTGAGCCCCTGCGCTGAGGATCCGGCTCTTCAAGACTGCAGCCCTCTCGGGGGCCCAGAAGCGGTTCCCAGGGGAACTAGCTGGCAAGTCCGACCACTCCAACTGCTTGGCCTAGGCCACACTGCTCGGGGGACTGACCAAGGGGTATCTTTCCAATTCTGGGGAAAGGGACTCCCTTCCCCCATCCAAGTATTCAGCCACAACCCTGATTACTGAGCAGAGACACCTTTGACCCCTGATGGGCGAGCCTAGCCCACAGTTACTGGGCAAGTGACAGGTTCAGAGATGACTGGCCATCGCTGGCACGAACTGTACAGCAGACGCTGAGGCCAAGGCCAAGGCAGTTCAGAACTCCTCCCCCAAGGCATCCCACTCCTCCAGTTGGCCCGGGGCTGACAAAGGGCCTCAAGGGCCTGGGACCTATGCCCAAAGATTCCTAGCCACCAGGGACCTTTGGACATGTGACTGCTGGAAGGAAAGGCCTTTTCACCCCAGTCTTTGCTGTCGCCCCACTCCACTTCCCTGATGGCCCCTAGTCCTCACCTCACCTTCAATTTCCCAAGAGCTCAACTACTGAAAAGCACTGGGGGTTTGGGGGTGCTGGCCCTCCTGCCAGCCCCAGGGAAGGTAAGTATCCATAAGGAATCAAACAGGTCATAATGTAGCCATTGTACTTTTATTCACATCATGTATTTTGGCATTTTCCAGAGAACAGGGTAGAGACAGGATGAGGGATAGACTGAGGCAGGAGGGCGAAGGGTCCCCATTTCCCTCATATCCCTCCTGGCTTGACCACACAGGGGACAAACACAAAGGGGGAGGGGAGCAGGAGCA